TGTTAAAAGGCAGGCATTCTTTATTCATGGCTCTGGGAACACGGCGGATAGCTCCTCCTAAATCGTGTTCGTCGATCAGTTCAAAAATCAAACATTTGTAGGCCTATGATTACAAGATTAATACATATTCATTAAGTTTCCATACAATGATTGGTTAAATATTCCTCGCCTCACATGTAAATGACCACACATGCTCACTATAATTTCTTGGGATTTTACTTCCTTAATCTTTTGAGTCGGAGGGTTTCTTGAGTGGGTGGTCTCTGAGTTGGTGATCGTGATCTCCCCCTGCCGGAATTACCTTTCCTACAAAGTTCACTTAAACTTGGCAACACTAAATAGATCTTCACGGGCTGTCGGTCCAACATGCAATCATTCACCCCACAGTCCTTTGTTTTAAGACAAGACTATAGAATGAATAATTACCTACCCACAGGACCGTAGAACTGACCAAGGTGTTCCTTCTCTCTGACTACTTGTTATTAGAACAAAACATAATATCATGATCACAATGTTACACTTAATTCCTTGATAATTAAATCAAGATGGGAAGGGTTAGGTGGGTTCTCGAGCAGCATTGCTGGTGCATAATGTTCTTATAGTTACAACTTGCTACAAATTCACAAACCTATTTTCTAACCCTATTTTATTTTAATTCCCTACCACCTTGGTTACAAACACAGAACCATCCTTTTAGCTTTGCTTTGATTTATGTATGCAAGTGTTATTTACCATTATGTTGGTCTGGGTGGCAATAACTGGTGGAAGACTGGCTGCAGCAATGGAATCGTGCACACTGCTGAACGGGATATGCCTCTGCCTCCTTTTGCCAACTCTGTTATCACATCCTCGTTTCCTTTCCATATTCTTCTCCTTAGAATCAGATTTTAACTTCTAAGGCCCTACCTTTTCTCTCAATCTGTCATGACCCAAAGGGTTACCTGGCCTAAAGGTGTATAAAGATCACAACAGTGGATTTGCAGAATTCTGTAATACACACGCACATGAGTCTTTATTTCCTACATTTCTTTATTACAGATCACTGCTAGTAAAGTGGGTATACTTATGATTAATAAAGCATATAGTAGCAGCAATCGATAGTAGCAGCAAGCATATATTTCAATATTACAAGTTACTACAAAATTATCACTAATAAAGCGGCAAATACACTTATGATCAATTACCTATATGCGTGCCTGTGTATATATATTATCCAAACCAGTAGCAGTACAGTGCTCACCAAGCCACTCCCAGGAGTGAGGCCTTGAAATCGACGACAGACAAAGTCTCACTTCGAGGTGATCCATGTGTGACATGATCCAGACATGGAGTCTGGAGTCAGCCACGCATCCCCAGCGGTGGTCCGATAACTTGCCTCGGAGAGCTCTGTTGCGAATGAGTGGTTGGGCCGCTTAAAGAATTACCATGAAAGAATGTTTTTAATATAAATTTATAAAAGGGTGTGACTTAACAGAATTCAATGGCAAGGTTCACTCTATTACTTACTTAACATGGAAAAGTATACAAAGAGAAACCAAGATACAGCTAGATTGGAATGATTTGCTCATGGATCAAATTGGGTTAATGTGGCTTATATGTATATTGAGGGGAGAAAGTAGGGGAGACCCTCCTGTTGAGTCACAAGGTTCAGAGTGGACTGAAATCCACCCCTAGTCCCAGACTTTGTCAATGGTTTATGTCTAAAGATGAGGAAAGGGAAAGAAAATGAGGGAGACCCTCCCATTGAGTCATGAGGTTCAGAGTGGACCGAAAGCTGCCCTTAGTCCCAGACTTGGTCAATGGTTTATGACTAAGGTGAGGTAAGAAAAGTAAAGGAATGCCCTCCAGTTGAGTCACAAGATTCAGAGTGGACCTCCTTGCTTTCTAGGCTCCTTCTCAGAGAGGGGTCTGGGTGTGGTTGAATCCACTCCTAGTCCCAGACTTGGTCAACAGTTTATGTCTAAAGGAGTAGGGTATCGGGGATTCTGGTGTAGTGCTTTGTGTAACTTTAAAATGACAGCAATCAAATTCACTGACATTATTGAGATAAATCACAATATCAAATCATATATATAACTTAGTAACAGAATTAACCTAAAACTTACTAAGATTAATGATATTGAGACAAATCACAGTATTAAATCATAGCAACATGCTAAGATCAGACACTTAAAGAGATATAAAGAAAAGAGATAAATATGTACAAAGGTACCTTTAAATGCCCCCCTTGAATTTCATTGAGTACTCGCATGGAATGCTTTGCATCACTCAACGGGTAATCAGCCACGCCTCTGAGTTGATCGTGAACTTGAGGATTCATGGGCTCTAAGAGGCGTCCCACTCAGAGGGAGATGCTGGTCGCAGCCCGCTGTGGTCCAGGAGAACTCAAAGGAGAACTCTTGGGACTGCTATTTATAGGACTGGGAGATGATTGACTTTAGGCATCAGTAAATTTCCATCCTTTCCACAAATCATTTGTTGGTAATTGCTAGAATTCTCAACATCCCAGTGAAGCTGGTACTGATCCACTGGAGTCACAGCTAGATAAGATATGCTCCAAGGCTGTCTGGGGATGCTGAGTTACTCCCATCTACGCAAGAGCCCTTGGTACGGTCAAGGGGCCCTTAACCGCCAAACTCTCTGCTCCAAGGCCAAGGCTTATTGAGCAAGGAGGGCAAGGGGGGAGAAATGCACCACCACAAGCTCATAGAAAGGTTTGTGCAGGGGGGGGTTGTCTGTGTGTGGGGGAGAGACAGACAGGGACAGATTCCCTCTCCATTTGGGGTAAAAAATGTCATTTTTATATCGCAGAGACACAAGGGGGTATAGGACAGCACAACCTGGAGCAGCCAATAGATGATGATGTTTTGTATTCTCTCAGACCACTTCTTATTTTTCCAGGCTGTTTTTCTGCCCTTTCAGCTAGAATAGCCAATAGCAGTTGCTGATTCCTGCTTTCTTAGAATGTTTTCCCTCTTTTCCAGGCTATTTTTTGCCTTTCCAGATGATTAAGTTGCTGTTATAGCTCCTTAGTTTTGTGCTTACCAATGGTATCTCAGGATGTCTCTGTTGTTTAGGTACCCAGCTGCACTTCTCAAGGATGTTTCTGATTCCCAGGCTGGCAGTTCGCAGGCTGGCAAGCATTCTTTCTGTCAGTATTCCAGCAGACTTCTGTTCAGTGTTTTCCCAGATCACCTTTGTGGCTGCTGCCATCACCATCTCATACACGCAGCTCTGAGATGTATTCTCCTGCTTATCCCATTCTTTTTTACAAACTGAGACTATCCTCATCTCTTATGTAAGTTTATTCTGTTTGTTTACCTTTGCCTGCTCAGCTCTTCAGAGGTGCTGCCTGAGTGTAATGTGCAACTGCCGATCTGACCCACACAAAGGCAATAGGCAAGTTAATACTAGTGCAGTGATCACTGCACACAGATGCCAGCCATCACTTCTGGCTATCACATGGTTTCTTTACCAAAATTGAACAGTGGTATAAATACAACGTAGTTTAGGAACAGCAGAATAGAAGAAGTACTAAAACTGCAAAGAAGAGATTTATGATACATGCCACTATAGTTGTCAGTCTTAGATCTTTGATGGAGTCATCTTTGTCATACAGCCTAAGTGATGTTAAACATTTTGTTTCTTACTTTGTTTTCTAAGTGCAGATTTTGACATTTCTGTCACATCATACCATCTAGCTCATGCAACTAAAATAAACAAAAAAAGTGAGAGCATTGATTTCACGCTGCCATCTACAGACCTATAAAAATAGGGAACCTGAATAACTGAAAGAAAATATTAGGTGTTGACAAAACAAAATAACTTTCAAGTAAAAATGAGGGTTTAGGAGTGGCTTATTAAAGATAACATTAATTTTATGACTGCCTCACCAAAAGGAAGGGTAAATAAATACTTTTCTGTGTTCTTGTGTTTCTCCACTGCAGCTGTACTCCAATCTAACAGCATGCCAAGCTCTTGGAAATATGTGTGTAATGAATATGAACTCATTGAGTTCTTCAAGTACTGATGCCTGTGGTTTATTTCATTATATTTATGTCAACACAGCAAGGCTAGGCATTGTTCATTCAATAGCCTTCTGGTAAGTTGCCTCTTCCATAACTTCAGTCTTTAATAGTGTTTTATGGAAATTATTATTCTAAATGTTCTTTGATGCAAAACGTTATGTTTCTTTAAAAAAAACATTGTAATTGTTTTCAGGAGGCATAATCTTCCATGGCTATATTACGGTGATCAACCAGGATTAGCATCCCAAGTGCTTGAGGCAAATCATGTCCCTACAATCTTCAGTTTTAAAGGAACAGATAAGGTAGGTGTTGGGTAGTAGACATGGGGAAACGAACATTTGGAAGAGGACATAGTCACATAGAGGTTTAGAGTCATTGCAGATGTGGCTCCACTAAAGATAATTTTTAGGCAGTTAGTGTAAGAAAACTCAGTGTGAGATCTTACGGAAGAGGAAGGTGACATTTATGTAAAAATTCTCTAGGTAAGACGATTTTACTGACTTACGCTCGCTTGCTCACACATTTATTTTGCTCACGCTTTCATACCTACATTCTCATAAGGCCAAAATGTGCTTGCCTGTGTCATCTGACCAGGATCAATTGTGTGTGACACAAGGAACAAGGGATGCCAGCTATTAAGTTCTCATTATGTCCCCAAGGTTCTTCTGGATTGTTAGTGATGAACTAGTAATTAGACAAATCTTTTATACCCCTTAGGAGTTAATAGTTGTTTTGGCATTGTCCATTGCTTCAGAATCTTGTTTCTTTCAGTCTCCATAAATCTGAGGCAAAGTTAGTCTTTGTCTTTTTCCCTTGTTTGAAATATATACATCCTTTTGTCAGTTTTCTTGGTGAGCTAATTGGAAAATGAGGGATGTATGTGATGTAATGTAGCTTTGCTGCCATTCTCCTGGTGCCAAGGTACATGATTGTTTGCTGACAAGTTGCCTGTCTCATGGTTTTATCAGAACCCATTTCTCAGATTTATTGCTGGGGACAGTGTTCTTCATTATTGCTGTGTGTTGTTTAACCCTTTCCTTCTGTTGCTTCTGGTCTTTACGTACACATTTCTATTCATACTTCATTTGTAATAGCCTTAATATCTCTGTTACAAACCTCTACAAGTTGAGTTGTATCAGCAATGGATTCAGCCTATTACTGCAGCCTTTTCCTGTTCCTACAGTGAATTAGGAAAAAATAAAAAAAGAGGTGAGGAAAAACAACCATTTCAACGTTAACAAAGCCATGTTTCCATTCCTGGGAGGGATGGACTCCTTAAGTAGCTTGTTAACTACTACAGTTCTAAGAAGGAATCAAACAGTAATTCAAACAGTCAAGCATTTTCTTTTACAGATTCATTGTAAAATTAGAATAACTAAAATAGTTTATTCAGGTTAAACTAATCACAGAAAGTCAGCAGTGCTAGTGATAACCTGTTTGTCAGTTATACGGCCAGATTTAACTTGTTTTCTTATTGACTCAGAAATAAAATAGTAGTTCTTTTCAGCCGTTTTCTAAAAGGCTGTGCTTTAAATTAAACCATGTTGCAATACAGCTTCTGTTTTAACAACTAAAATATTTGTTATTCTTCCTAACACCTAACACTGAAGGTCCTCAAGATCCCAGCTTGGTATACAGTAGAAATCTGCATCAATTTCTGATTTATTTAGGGCATGTCTAGAAGTTCCTTTGGAACTCTTTCCACATCACCAATGAAGCTGTAGAATTGTAAAATATGGTTTTTTTCTTAAAAAATAAACTACCAAAACCAAGATTAAAAACATAAAGTCAGAGGGAAAAAGTGAAACATTATGCTGAAAGTTTTAGGGAAGCATCAAATGATGAGACAGCAGTCCCTAAAATGTATATGTCTGCAGTTTCATTATTTCTTTATCTTCTTTCATCATCAGGATGTAAAGCTGCAATTTATTGCAGCCTCATTTGATGCAGCAGGAAACTTTCTTAAGTGGCAAAATTTGGAAGGAGGCATCTTGCAGGTATGTTGGATTTTAATTATCTTTTGTTGATACCATTGTTGTCCCAAATATGGGTTCTTTCACCTGGTCGGTGTGCAGAGAGCTGAAAAACATACCGAGTTGAGATATTTGCTTTTCTTCCAAATCTGCACAGAGTTGGGTGCTAGGTGGTAGGCCCACAAAGCTAGCACACTGTGTTAACACACAGAAAATATTTATACATTTTGAGCAACCATTATCAGTATTTTTGCAAGTTGACTCAGTCACCCTTGTTCCTATCGGTTCTCACAAGCCTCGTCTCCACTTAAAGTCACAACATCCTTCTTTTTTACTGCCCATGCTCAGTGAGGAAGGGGCTTCAGTGAGTAGGGGGCTTTCCCCACCCAAGGGCAGGTTTCTATTATGCCAGTTATATGTTAATTAGATGTTAATTAGGATAGTTCACTCAAAGCTCAGTAGTTTTGTTCCCTTTATGGTTATCTTGTTCCTTCCCTCAAGGTTGCACCTTGTTAACTGCTCACAGAGACTAAACAATACCCCCAGCTTCATTCCTTGAATCTTCCACACCATAACGTTTTGATTGCCTTTAGCCAAACTAAGACAAAAGCCAAGAGTTTGGTTACTACAGTAGTGACAATTTATAAGATAACCGTAGAGCTAGATTAGGGCAAATAGCCCTTGGTTCTTGCTCACAATGATCTCTACAAAATCAAAAGTGTAAATTCAGCAACATTACCCTCATCCATTGGACCAATATAAATTTGGAATATTGGAAAGCTCTGAAAAACAGCATTAGTCATTTAGAACCAACCATTTATCTCTTTCTTCCATTCAACATAAGGTTACCCATGTACATAACTTATTAGCCCCCTTTTTCTTGGTGAGAAAAGTATATTCTTTAGCTTTCAGACCACATACACTTATAGAAAATTCTGGGAGTATGTCCCTATTGGATGTTGTCACCTGTTTTCACACATTATGGGGATGTCAAGCAAATCATTGATTATGTCACTCTCAAGAGAGGTAGGAAAACTGATTTACCACCCCATTTTCTTTCAGTTCTCTTGGGATTTTTTTTGTTTGTTTATTTCTGTTGGTTTTAATATAAAATGTACACTTTGGCCAGCATCTGCCTGGATTTTTCGTAACAGAAAGTTAGAAAAACTTGCTGGGAGACTTTACATACAACTGGGAGACACTGGCTAGAGGATTCACAGTACCCTTGGACATTCTACCCTCAGATTTCAGTGGTGCACACACATTCTGCTTCAGCAGTAAAATGCTGTGAAAAACACAAGAAGCAAGTGGAAAGTGCAATACTAATTAGCCTAACAGTTAGCAGAAACTGGCAGCTGCAAAACATGTGACAGTAGAATTTGTTTAGCAGTCCAGTAGTGATCTAGACGGTCTCAGCAATTGCTAGGCTGGCAACAATAGCAAGAACAATTGGGAATTGTCTGTCCCCTTTTCTAGGCTCTTCATGTCACTCTTGGAGCTCCAGTATCTACGGAAGAGCAGCTGACATTCAGGATTTAGACAGTGACTGCCATTTCTTTTGTTATTATCTCAGGATGAACTGTCTTGCATCTGCATCTCAAATTTTAAGGAAAACTAGTGACTAAGAAAACAGGTTACTAAGCCAATTACTGTGCATAGAAAATTAGATAGTCTGACATAGATTTTAAGGTTTATTGGGACACATTAATTTCCTAAATGCAGAGCTTTTAGTAGCTATCAAAAATCAATGGAAAAGGAATAGCTTTTCCATTCAAAGCCTCTTTTAATATAACAGATTGTATGTGGTGATAAAGACATTGCAGTGCATAGTTTTAGCAATTCCCAGATTTTCAGTTGCACACTAATAGAAATGTAAATTTAGAATTGATTTTCATTTTGGGAAAATGGCTGTGCCCTCCCTTAGGTGCCATGCTCATTTAGTTAGAATTTGGCCCATTTTTCTGGGTTCTGCTTAGAATGACTTGTTCTTTGCAGAAAATGTAAAACTTACATTGAAACAATCTGTTACTTGCCATGATAACTTTGATCCTCTGAGAATGTTAGCTTAAGAGAAAGGGAGCAACATGAATGTGGAGTTCTTTTCTCATGGGATTCTTGGATTTAGCAGAAGCCACTAATAAAGCTTGAGGCAGCACAATGCATTGAACATTCAGTCCCCAGAAAGATTATTCTTGCCTGGTTGGATGGTGCTGTCCACAGATTTCAACATCAGTGTTGGAACTAAAAAATACTGTGCAAGTATGAATAAGCTAAAACAGCTTTTAAGAACACCAATAACAGTACGGTAAATAATAATGTTTACTCTTCAAAATCATCCCTCTTTTCTTGAAAAATAGAACAAAATATCTTTTGTGAGAACTGTGAATACATAAACTTCTTGGTTTTCAAATACCTGTGAATATTTCATGTGGGAAAATGATACATTTCAATTAACCTAATTATAATTATGTTTCGTTCAGCTTTGTCCTGATACCCAAACTAAATTGAATGCAGCTTATGCATTTGGAACAACGTACCAACAAAGTGTAAGTAAGAGATAAAATGCTATTCTGAATTTTGAATTAAGTTGCTTTATACATCGTCAGTAATTCAGTGCATATTGAAGGACCTCTCGAGTTTAACCATAAGCTGCAACATGGACTTCTTTCTTGTGAAACTGTTCCTTGTATTAATTTCTTTAATAGTGAGTGAAATAAATGTATTTTTTTTAAATTATTTAACTATACATCACAAAACTTGAACTGGCATTTGTATTAGTGAGGCTGCTGACATCAGTGGAAGAACACAATGCCTGAATTCTGACAGTCATATACTTTGCATTGTAACTTCTAATTTTCCTGCCGCCATCTTTGGCCAGGTTTCATGTGGAAAGAAAGCATATGCAATCATGCCATGCCTGTATGTTGCCCCCATAACTCTTTAGTGTATTCCCTGATTTCAGTGAATTCAATAAAGAGACTGAAGGCAAGTTTTAATCAAACAGATGACTCATCAGAGGAAAGAGTTTCTTTAGCTGTCTTAACTATGGGAAAAACTATTGGATTTTTCATACCTTACTAAATACCAGGAAAGGGAGAGGGGATAGAGCACTTGAGCTTGTGTATCCTTAGAAGCTAAATTCAACAACAAAGCTTCATTAATTTTTGTCACTTTTGTCTTTTTGGCGGCAGGGTGTAGAAATAACATCTTTATTTTTATAAAACCCCATATCTGTGCACAGCATCCAATACCTATATATCCATTAATATTATTTATTAACTCATCTACATTCAAAACCATTCCCCATGTTATGTATTGCAGTGTAAAAATATATAAATGCTGGCTGTTGTTTGGGTGGTGTGAAAGTCTTGTAGTATAACAGCTGTCAAAGCTTTAGTCCTAGAAGACTAAAGTGTTTACCAAATAATTTTGACAAATCTTTATTAAATGCTTTTACTCTTCCATATTGTTTAATGTTGTTTAATCCAAATTTCAGTAGAATGAAAACCTACTTCCTATTTAGGATCATTGAACTGGTCAAGTATGGTTATTCTTTTTTTTGTACTTTTAAAAATCTTACATATTTGATATATTGAGTCTGGGGAACATGTGTTAAGTATTAACAACAGTTAATATTACTCTATTAAATGCTTTTACTCTTCCATATTGTTTAATGTTGTTTAATCCAAATTTCAGTAGAATGAAAACCTACTTCCTATTTAGGATCATTGAACTGGTCAAGTATGGTTATTCTTTTTTTTGTACTTTTAAAAATCTTACATATTTGATATATTGAGTCTGGGGAACATGTGTTAAGTATTAACAACAGTTAATATTACTCTATTTAAATACAAATACTAATAAATATTAACTTGCTGAGTATTTTTTGATGTAATTATTTTCATGGATTGCATGCAT